CGGAAACTGTTGTCGTATCAAGAAAATTTAAATGTGGTATTTTACAATTAACATAGAGCTATCGAATGGCGTTATCATTTTGATTTATTATCAGAGAATCGCCATCTTGAAAATTTACAATTTTGAATTTTCGAAAAATCTCTTTTATGCCCTTGTTATCGGGTGCGGTTCACTTAGCGCTACAAATGTTTCGAATTTTTTGGAATGTCATTTTATCCGGTCCACTTGGCATTTCGAAGCGTTTCAATAGCACATATGACGTCGGTACAATATATATTTCTTTTTTACAATATATATTTCTTACTCTCTACTTTTCATTAATACGTCATAGATTTTCACTTTCAATTCGCTCCTAATGCTACTGCTTGGAGAGGTAGTAGCTGAATTCCGTAAAGCATATATGCGCGCATTTATCTATAGTTCATGTCACGTATACTATAACAAAATGCGCATATATGCGCTTTACGGAACCCAGTCAGTATCATTGAAGCATACAGTTTAAATGTACAAAATGCGAAAGCGGAAAGCTTAACGAACGAAAGCGTATATCATGGTAAGTAGTGTGGCGATCTGATTTATTTTTGCGTGTAATGCATGTTTCATTTCTGTTATTGTACTAATTTTTTAGAATTATTTTTATTGTGTATTGCATCAAATATTTAAAGATAAAATGCCAATTATAAAATTAGGAAGGAGATAATAAAGAAATAATTTATAACAAAAAAGTTTCTGAAGAGGATACTGTTAAGGCTAACCAAACTAATGTTATAATGATCTATAATCATTTACATGTAATTTTATTTTAAATAAGTTAAAAAAAAATAAATGTCTTTTATTTTTTGAGATATGTGCAATTACTTGTTCTGAAATGCTTTTCGTTATCTTCGTAAATATAACATAGTGGTTCTAAAAAAGTCTTAATATGTGCAATTACTTGTTCTGAAATGCTTTTCGTTATCTACGTAAATATAACATAGTGGTTCTAAAAAAATCTTAATAATATAAGCTAATATAACTTTTATCTCATCAGAATTCATGATTGCAGAATATATATTTGTAAACACAATTCCGATTATTTTTTAACGCTTCAAACCGGTCCACTTGCATAGTGTTGGCAACATTAGTAGCGTTAATGGACTATTTTACGGAAGCAAATGAAAGCAAAAACGTTTGAAGCATTTGTAGCACTGAATGGACCGCACCCATCGTTACTAAATTGACCAGTTTGCAAATTTAAATTTATCTTGTTATTCACAGGATTTTGAGTGACGTCATGATCTTATTTATTTGTGTCTTTTAAAAAATTTTATTATTATCCCGTTATTCCCTGTGTGATAATAATTTTGTTTACAATATTTTCTTTTATCTTGTATGTATAAAAATTAAGTCGGCAGGAGTGACTGGCTAACTCCGAATAAAGACATTATAATCAAAGACTGGCCACGAAAAATTTTTGATTGGTTCGCCATCTTTTGGCTATTCCCATTTATTTTCAAATACATTAACTACATTAATCTTAAATTGTAATATCATATTTAAAAACATAAGCGTTTTAAAGGTAATAAAATGTGTTATAAAACTTTATTTTACACAATTATATTACCAATTTAATATATATTCTTTAATTTTAACGATTTTAAATTTATTTATTTTTTTTTTCGCTATTTATCTTTTTCAACATAAGAGCAAAAATTAATATAATATTATTATACTACTGTTATACTATAATATTTTTAATTTTTTATACATAATTGTCAAAACGATCCTCTGTGAAATCAATACAATGACAGCTATTCACAAAGTTAGCGCAGCGAGAGAACTCATCGCGGAAAAGCGTCAACAATAAACTTCGAGGAAATTTCGAGAAATGCAAGTATCAATGTCATGCCTTTTTTAGAAAGGATTATTATACATACTTATTATTATTATAAATAAACTTTATTACAATATAAAATAAAATTTAAGTAAAAAAAATGAACATCCACCCATTTTTTATATTGATTTGAATATCACAATTAATTAATTTATGATTATATTTTGCAATTTTAGTATCTCTATTATTTAATAATATATTATCACCCCCGATAGCAAAACCTGCAGAAACAGATTTTGAGTAGAGCCTGCAGAGTCAATATTTGATGGCAAAAAAGCAACAAATTGCACACAGAGCCTGTAATATCTGACGTTGTAAGCAAACTGTTCTCAAAAATATGACAAAGCTTGCCGACATGCTATGCCAGCAGATTGCTAACAAAAACCGAGCACAGCCTGTCATTACGCATATTTAAACACAACAATTGAAAAACTATCGGCTAAAACTAGATGGTGTCTGTTTCTCGCATGCAAAATTTATCAAACTTTCTATATAAGCGAAATCATAAAATTTAAACATGCATTTATTATTTACGTATTTTTATGTATGTTTTATGTTTGCTGCAAGACATAATCGTCCAATAAGGAAATTAGGGCAAACTCTGCTTGATTTTTGCCACGAATCTGTTTGCATAAAGCTGGATATACACTTAGCGAACGAACACTGAACGAACAGCAAACGCAAACGTTCGGACATTTGCATTCTGTTTTGAAGTCGTTCGTTTCTGTTCTCAATTGCACCAGCATTTGGATTTAATTTAATGTTCGGCGGTGTCTCAACTTTTTACGGTATATAAAAAAAATTAATTAATATTTATTATCTAAAATAAAAATAATTAGAATTGTAGGATTAAAAATGTATAGAAATAAATTATAACACTATTTTGATTTTATATTTCTGAAAAGGAAGAATATATTATTTAAATAATCTATATTTAATTTTTATATAGTTCTATGATATTGTATTAATTTCATG